CTGCCTGCCTGTCTTCCATTCCTTTCACAAAGCTGCCCGGCCCAGTTTTTTTGGCAGGCATTGCCAAAAAGGGACTTAGAGGGAGGAAGGGAGTTTTTGCCTGCCCATGGTCTACAGCAGGAGAGAAGCAGATGACTGTCTTCCTGAAAGCTTTTTTCCCTCTCCATAATCCCCCAGAGCCAGCCCCTGCTGCTCCCCAGGGGGTGGGTGCTGTGTGTGTGTTTATTTGAGGCAGCAGGCAAGAAGGGCTCAATTCATGTAAGAGGTGGGGTATGCCTGGGAGGGTGGGCTCTCTGGATAGCTACTGTGCATTTCTACAGGGACAGGGTGACACATGTCTTAAATAAATTTGCACACAAACATAGCAGGTGAGAGTCCATCGAATCTGGCCACAAAATGCTGTCACAGAAATCACAAGACCAACTTCAAGCTACAAACCCTGACCCCCCAGCCAGATCTCATCCTCTCAGCTTTTCATCCTGTGCCCGGCTTGCTGTGCCAGTATACCACTGTGGCACCATCGGGGATGAGGTGCAGCTGATTCAGCTCTGCCTCCCCTGAGAGGTGACCCTCCAAGAAATAGAGAAGGGGGCAGTGTCAGCTAAACCTCAGGGGCAAACAGTAAATACTGCATGGCCTGCCTCAACCTGCAACAGAGCTCAGGCTCAAGATCCTGTGTTAATTTTGACACATGGTACATATACAAAAACAGTGAATGAGAAGAGAGGGTTTCTCATAGCACATTTTAAGACTGTGTGGCAGCTATTGGCTCAAAGCTGTTAGAACTTTCATCCTAGGACTGGCATTATGCCACTTTATAAAATTTTGATATGTTTTCAGGCGAGAAAGTAACCCCTTGGATTGAGAATATGTGGTCAGTTTATCAACTAATACTGATTTGGAAATTTGCCTCGACATTTTCGGACAGTACCTGCTACCGGACCAGCTGGCTATAATTAGCAGGCAGCTACACCTCGTTCAGAGCACAGTAGTCTGTGTCACCAACGACGCTGGTGTTCCACATTCAGAGTACTGCATCCTCCTGTCTTCAAGAGTTTGTACTTAAAGTTCAAACTTACAAAGTCCACACTCAAAAGTATGGGAGTCTCAACTTGATGTACTAGGTACTGAAAGACGCCTCGTAGGGTTTTAGATAGGCATTCAGCACCTACCTCAGCTACTGTACATGACTTGGACCCTGAACTCAACTAGACCTGGAGTTTGAATGTTTAGCTGCAGTGCCTCGAGTGTTTCATCAAAGTGCAATATTTAGAAGAATGCAGGTGTAAATCTCAACAGCACTACAGACGGACAGACAAAGGAATGCTCATTGTGAAACGAGAGCGCGAGTAACCGAGGTTGCCATCACCAGTGCCATAAAGTTACATTACAGTTACATTCAGGAGCATTTCAACTTTGGAACGTTTCTTAGAAATGATCTCAAAATACCAGCTAAGGTTGCTCAGTATCTCTCCAACTCTTTTACCATTTTTAAAACAACAGTATGCAACCCTGTTTTACAAACTACTACATAAAGTTTAATAGAATTACTTTAGAACCCCAAAAACAGCCAATTCTTTAAAAGAAGAGAAGAGAAAGGGCTTCTGTAATACAGTATGCATGTGTCATTTTAATATAATCATAAAAGTGCATCTTTGCTTGTATGTGAATTCTACAGAATATATTGTTGTAGCTGAAGGTACTTGCTGGTTCTGACAGCATAAAACAGAAAGTGATGAATAAGGTCAAGAAATGAAGTGAGCAAGGGAGCAAAAGAGACTGAAAGAGGACACAGACCAACAGAAATACACACAAAAGAGAGGGCGAACAAGTGGGAATAGAAGTGAGGAAAGAGACAGCGAGCAGAGGAAGCAAAAAAGACTGGAAGGGTTGGAGACATGGAGAGAAAGATGCGGAGAGCAGAGACAGAGAGAGGGGCCTCTAGTAAGTAGCTTTCTCCTGGTTATTGGTTTCAGTGACTGGTCAAAACTATTCTTCTCCATTCTTCTCCCCTCTCTCTCGTCGGTACCTTTTTTTCCCCTCTGTGGCGTGAAAGATAAAACGGACGGACCCAACTGTGTGGCTGGCCCTTGTTCACAGCAGTGGCCTTTTGAAGCCAATTTTCCAGCTCACGGAGCAGAGAAAGACAGGGAGAGACAAGTATAGAGAGGGATGGAGGGACTCGGAGGAGAGTTGAGGGATGAAGGGATGAGGGGTGCAGGTGGGGAGGGGCGGGTGGGACAGAGAAGTTTTAGGTATGTGAATTAGGGCTGAGGTACTGATGTGACAAAATGCATGGCCACAGTGGAATCACAGGCCAAAATGTGCCTCACCTTAATTGTCATAATTGGTACCACTGACTGTAGTACAGGGGAAATATTACTCACTAGACCTGAAACAGGAGCAGCACTGTTTCCTGTGTGATTTTGACAAAGCAGTGGAGCCTGGGGGTAAGTCTGCACTTTGGATTCCACACCCGACGCCTTCATGGTCTGAATCAAGGCTCTAGTGCATTGCTGAAAATGTGCTTTCTACTGTACGTGCTTTAATTCTGCACTTTACGACAGCAGGTATTTTTTGTGCTTTAGAGGTAAATTTACCATTTTACACTTAATTTAGCCTCTTATACCCCTCTATTCTTAATCACAGTGTTCTTGCAGTTGAGAAAAAATACAGATTACAGAATATTTTGTATCAGTGCAATTATATATTCTTTATATAAATAAATGATTTAATTTAAGGTTGGTTCTCATGGACAGTTAGTTTAGGTTTTCCATGTTTCACTAGAGATGAATGCCACACAGCTAAAGTCAATAATAGGGGAAAACAGAAATCATACCAATGCAGATCAAACCACTGCAAAGAAGCAGTTTTGTAACAGATAACGGGATAGTCACACGGTTTTAAAAAACATTTTTAAAAAAGCTCAAAAACAAACAACCACAAAAAGATAGAGTAACTAAAAATGCTAAAAAATTCAGCCGGTGTTTCTTTTTTATTAAGGTTATTCAATTTCTGGAATTTCAAGTAATGGCTGATTTGTGTTGTGTGTTGTTTATACAGCATGAAGGCTGTATAAACACAAACTATGTATGTGTGCTCCTCTCCTTCTTCCTTCCCACCCTGCATGCCATGGCTCCAGTTATCAGCATGGGGGGGTTGAATTAAGACCACATAGGGAAAGCTATCAGACTAAGATATCAGACTTTTTCTTAAATGCAGAGAGACTGGCTAGAAAATTGGCTTAGTGCAGCAGATAGCAAACTGAACAAAAGAAACATATATATGAGCTTGAAGTGATTGAAGTAGCTGGCGTCTCCCGATGTGTGCTTGGCGTTTGATTCCTGGCACGGCTCTTACATAAACTGCTCGCTTAATTTCACACCACGCATCTGAAAAATGACAACAAACACTTTCATTAGAGCACGATGCCGCAGCCCCACGAAGAGACTTTAATGTTCTTGAAGCGTGGAGGAAGGAAGGAGGAGAGGAACATGGAGCGGGGGAAGGAGGGGCTGAAGGAGAGACAGAGTAAACTAGGTGAAAGAGGGTGATAAATGCAAAAACAAGAAGCGGAAAAAGCAGCAAACAGCATCTGCTATGATTATTTCAATATTCATACGGACCGCCCTTTCCTAGCATGCAATTGGTAACGCTCATCTTTCCTCCCTCTTGTCTCTCCATTCTCTCTCCGGTGTGGTGAATATCTTGCATATGCTTAGGCGCACGGTACAAGGAACAGAGTTAAGCCCAGTTAGGTAATTTTCTTTCATTTGTTTATGGCACAAAGCCAATCCTTCATTGCCACAGAATCGGGTCATGGAAAGGGTTTTGCCAGAGGCCACGAGGATGTGTGTTTCAGCATGCGTGTGACAGTGTAGGCGTTCTCCTCCTCTTTGTACCACAGCTTTGCTCTCCTGCTTATTTCATATGGTGTTACATGGAGGTGCCACCCTTGAGGAGACTAACACACCATCCCTGGTCCCATCCATGGCAACACAGGGCTCCACTCAAAACAGCAGCTTTGTTGCCTTTTCCACTCTGTGTGTGTGCATGAGAGCTGTGTGTACGGTAACAAACAGCTGGAGTTATTATTTGTGATTTTAAACAGTGCTAAAACCTTTGAGGTTAATAAAGTTTGTGACAGGTTCTCCTACTGCAGCTGTTGAGTAGTTCGATTTTAGCGTAGCCTGTTCTATGCATCACAAATTGTTTTGTTGGATACGTACCACCATTTTCTTAAGTTTTAATATTTCTTTTATTTAATGAAAATGCAAGACTAAAGTGCTTTTTTTTTACTTTTACCCTGATTGTGTGAAGACCCTAACTATGGTTTCTTTTATGCTTTCATTCTTGTTCTTCATCATCTTAACTGCAGCATTAACATAAGTAAATATTACCCTGGTGGATCAATAAAGTATGACTCTCTCCTATCACCTGATTTTCGGCGCTCTGCTACACTTTCATGACAGGTGTAATGGTATTTACTCTGGTGCTAAAAATTTAGTATTTGGATTCAGTGATGAATGTATAACCGACTGGAAAACTTGTTGAAACAAACTGATTTAGAACTTTGTTATTGATATGCAACAATTACATGTAAAATGTGTGTCAGAAAAAATCTAGAGAGCACAAAGTATTTGTGTACCTTGAGGCCTACAGTAGGTGAGCAGCTGAGCAGTACCAGATTGTTCCTGTATGTATCTTTAAGGGTCCAGGGCCACAGCTCCTCACTGGGCTCACCCAGGTTCCACCAACAGACTGCCACATCCTGGAGACGGTTGAGACCCGCATGTCTGTGGAGCCTCTGACATTGCCCGCTCACCTCCACACACGACACCTGGAGAAGGAAACAGAACAAAGCAGAGCATGCAGTTTCTGCCAGTTTCATCAAGTTAAATTTAAGGGTGCAAATCCCCACCCCACCCCAAAATTAGGAGGTGGTGGGGATTTGCCATAGGCAGTACTATAGAAACTACTGAAAGAATCATCTTGGGCATGATCAATATTTTTAGGACATATCAAAATTATATTTAAGAACTCCAAGAGTTTTTAAAGCCTAAAATTCAGATTATTGGATGTGAGACCTTTTATGGACCTGCAGAAACCCTGGACAGTTTGAAGCCCAACACTGGTGGACATACCTAGAGTTAAAACATGCCATCTGGAGAAGGGGAAGATGTCAGAGTATCTTAGTTATTCACACATTTGGATTCACCTCTCTGCTCCGTTTCAACACCTGAGGGCTCTGAAACAGCCCCAAACACCACTGTCCCTCCCCCATCCTGTTTGTGCTGATGTCTAAGGTTGTTTTTTTTTATCTTCCATTATTAATGTGTGCATGTGTTTTATTCTGTTGGGCTTGTTGTTTTAGTGATGTGCATATTTTTGGGAGGGTCCGCCACGCTCTATGAGCCACAACAATGAGACACACAGTAATAAGCTCTCGTGGCGCTTTTGGGAGGGGAGGGTTGGGGGGGCAGCACAGAAACACACACACACACATGCACACACACACACATGTGTAGAGGCACAGATATAAAAAAATGTATATAAACGCACACTTTTGCAAACATACTACAAGCAACAAACACACTCACATACACGCACCATTAAACAAACAGAGCTCTATCCAGAAGCACTTTCAGGTGAAATTGCAGGTCCTACACTGTGACCCTGCCTTTCATGTACACCATAGCTCATAAGCTGCCCAATATGCATACAGGACTTTCATGCAATTTTTATCTCCAGTCACACTCACTTGCACAATAAACCTGCTACCAGAGTCAATGGCTAACATGCACACAGTAGTGCGTGCACACACGCACTCACATCCATGACCTCTGTTATGGTGAAGAAGAGTGGCTAGGACCTGAGAGATAGAGGGAGGACAGAGGTGAGGGAGGAAAAAGAGAGGGGAATAAAGGGTGGTAATGAAGAAAAAGCAGATTGTCTGGAATTGGACAGGAGGATAAGAAAGACAGAAGAGAGGTGAGGGCTGCCTTTATGCACTATGGGAACAGAGGACTAAATCATGCATCATGTATTAAAGGATAAATGAAGAACAAAACAAAAAGTACACATTATTCCACCTTTCTCAATCCAATCAGAATCCTTGTGATGGATCAGTTGCAGGAATCCAAAGGAAAAATGCAGTTAGTTGTAAATTCCTCTAAGCACATATTGTCGATACCAAGAATGACTGTTTAAGAATTACTTAAAAAAAACCAAACACACAAACACCTCAGTACAAAAAGATGATTTTAAAAGCAGAGGAACATGCAGAAATGAGTAAATCAGGAAGTGGCACTGTATGAGCAGAGCAGATTTCATGTGGTCCACGTCTGGTCCTTTCGTTCCCTTAAGGGGACATTTGCTTTGGACACAAAGTACAGACAGGAATGAGAATAATGGAAGTACATCTGATGTTAGGAGGAACAAAGAGTTAAATGGGAGATCACTGACAGATTCAAAATGGAAAATAAATAAAATAAGAAAATAAATAAATATCACTGGCTTAATAACACACTATCAATACCCCCTGCACGCTCTCCATTCCTCTATCCCTACCATCTCTTCCCTCTTCTAATTTTTTTTCTGCTGGCGTTTGCTGGTCAGCAATAATCAAAAACCACTTTCTGTGGGCCGGATTAGTCACCCCCCCCCCAAAAAAAACTCTCCCTTTTCCAGCTTAGCCCACTGGACCAGGGCAATGTGTATGTGTGTTTGTTGTGGGGGATGGGCAGCTGGGTGTGCATGTGCACAAGTGTGTATGTTGCAGGTTGCATGCACATGCATTGACTGAGATATGGGGTGGTGGTTCAATGAATGTATGAATGTGTATGTGTTAAGGAGGTGGTGAGGGGGTGGGGGGTTGTCTTATCAGGACTTTGCTTCTGGAGAGACCCAAGGAAGGACCGATTGCCTTTATACACACTAACATGTACGCGCACACACCTCAACAAAAGGGCCTGGCAGTAATGTGATAATGCCAGGGTTAGCAGTTTGCATGTATGCAGACAAAGTACAAGTATACTGAACAGCTAAAAGTGTAAGTAGACTTTCCCCCCCGGAGCAAGTTGTTTAACTTGCTGCCAGAGAAAAAAGGTCAATAATGTAGTAAAAAACCGCTCAGGTCTCTCAGCCTGCTAAACCTCGATTCAAACAGACGAGGTTGTGAAGGTTTTGTATTTTTGGGATATTACAGGTATTTGTACTGAATACAACCATATTCTTCAGTTTATACTATGTTTAGAAATAGTTTTAATAATGGCAATATACGCCAGGAACTGAACAAACACATGACTGAACTGTAGTTTTATCTTCCACTGCATTTCAGTTAGAGAAAGTAGCTGACTGAACATGAAATACAAACCAAAAACACATTTTGGAAATGTTGGCCATCGGAAAGGATGAAGCAAGCAGCCGGACAGTGATATAGAATAATACAGTATGCTACCACCTTTCTTTTTTGTTTTTGTTTTCTTTCAGTCTCATTTTTCTCTTGTGTGTTGTCCGCTTTTCTCACTCCTACATACATCAACGCACACAGACATTGCTCGTGCGCACCACGTCAATGTGTTTGACTGTACCTTGATTTCAGAAGGTGAGAGTTTGTCTGTTTGCCTGCCAGTCTCTGGAGGGTTCTTGTTCTTCTTGCTGAGATAGACGGCAGCCAGTTGGCTCTGCTCCAGGAAGGACAGCAGAATCAGCCCATCACTCAGCACCGCTGGGAACGACAGTCACATTTACCACTTAATGTCATGATTTTAAAAAAGTTGATTGCTGAGGTGAACCTTTAACAGTCCAGTCTCCTTACACTACCAGAAATGACAAAAATATCAACACACAGTGATCACTATTCTTAACAGGAAGCCTTGAATTAGGATACTTAGAAATACAAATTAGAATACACTGATTAAATTGCTTAAATTAGTAGATTACAGTTTGTTTCTCATGAAACATCTATATTCTGAAAGCCTCTTCATTTTCCAGAGCACAGGAGCTCTATCAAAAGTTACCCACTAGCCAGTCAATTTTTTTTATTCAGTGATGGGTTTTTCCTTTATTCCATCTGATAGTCTAATTTGTTCGCACCATTAAAAGTAGCTAATTCATCTGTGAGCTCCAGGTGCGTCTCTTCTGAGATAGATATTGGGTTGTTTTTTTGTTTTTACACACTGTAAATCACCCCGATAAAAGGCTCTTTGCAGAAAAATGCAGAAGATTCCAGTTATGCAGCTACTGTTTTTGTCACTGAGCCTGCTGACTCCAAAGGAAACATACTGTATTTAAAATTCACTGGGTGGTTTGACAAGAACATAGTTGCACAAACATGTTACTGACTGTCAGACTGACCGACCCCCCCGCTAGTTGCATTAAACCCTGAAGATCCTGTGGTTTTTATGTGAGATTGGGAATCTGTCGCTCTTCTAACTTTCTCCACTTTGCAATATAATTTGACTTTTGCCAAATCTGTCAAAATGCTACCTCCACACTGTAGTACAGTATCGTTTTGTTTTGATTAGTTTGGAATTGGCGGAGAGAAGGTCAGTCTGTCTCTCTCTTCTTCCCATACTTCCTTCCTCCTAGTTCCCCTGTCTCCCCTCTCCACCTTCCCTCCTCCTCTTTTCTTTTCCACTGCCTCCTGAATTCTTCGTATCTCTTTCTTACCCTGTTCCCTTCCCCTCCTGTCAGTGCACTGCAGGCCTTTTTGTGGTAGAAGAACACACTTGATCCTGTTCAACTCTTCATGAGCTGCATGGAAACGGTGATTAGCAATTAAGCCTCCCTCTCCTTCAAATTAATCTGTTTATGAAACTAATTAAATTGGGGGGGGGTCGGTACACGTCTCTGAGATATTCTGGTTTGAGTTGAACGAGCAATGCTGCACCCCGAGATTTAGAAATCTAACCGGCAATTAACCATGGAACGTGTGTATTTATAAACATGCGGGTATTGGTATGATTGCACTTCAAATCATCCTGTTGCGAAAATTTCAAATTAATATGCAAATATTCATGAGGGAAATGAGACACTGCTTGAAAATGCAAAACAAAAAACAAAAAAAAACTACCATCTTAAATCAGGTCAACTGTTTCAGTCCGTCCCTGTGCTGAACTTGGACTACCAAGCATTTGTAATGAAAACTGGCTCAAGGCTTAAACCATTATAAAATACGGCCATTAATGTTGCATTGGTTTTCCAAAACAACATTTAATGCAATGGTAAGCGTCTTTGTAATAGATTACAGACAACTCAAGTTAAATGCAGTTTAGTATTGATCTCTATGGGTGTCTATAAACGGGATTAGGATTAATCCCATTCATTCCCAAATGAAGGAGGAGATATGAAACCAGGCTGTGGCCTAATCTGGGACCAGGTGGCTCATTTGGCATTAAGGGCCAGACCTTCATGACCCACCCACCAGACACACACACTCATAGTGGGTACGTGCACACATTTATACTTACCCCCGAAACACACAGCTACATATACAGTCATATGCAATGCATACTGGCTACATAGAAACCTCCAACAATTCTTTAAGTGTGCTTAGTTACACATACCAACACATAGATTCTCCACACACAAACATAAAACAAGCCATATAATAAAGCATGTACAAGGCCTCACCACATACACACAGACAGAGACACATACAAACTCCCTTAAATCCATTTAATACCATCTCCTCAACAGCATGTTGACATAAGAGGCCAATGGGCTTAGCCAAAGCACATTTAAACATGGCTAAATGAAACTGGCTATGAAAAATCACTTAAGGATGCTTAATCATGAAGCATATGCACAGCTTGGCCCAGGAAGGTGGTGATACTATGATGTAACCTACTGCTCTGTATGATGAAACCAAGAGGATACCAAGTTTAAGAGATGACAGAACATCTGCATTGTCCCACCGTGAAACAAACAGAACAGACCCAGTTACCTTTGCTTGTTGTCTTACAGGAACCAATACTGAAAACCTTCTGCTTAGAAAAACTGTCGCCTTGTTGAGGAAATGAATTCTGTGGCTACACAGTGGCTGATTTGAATTTTTAATTGATTAAAATGATTTTAATTTTAACTGAATCTAGAGTGCAACAATCAGTTAACTGAAGGACAAAACCTGCACCTATTTTGATAACTGAGTAATTATTGCTTCAGTAAATGTTCAAGCAAATATTCCAGATATTTATATCCAGCTTCTCAAATATATAATGATTCATTTCAATCCTATATTTATCTTTTTGAAAACTGCTCAGGCATAAAAGTGATTAATTATACAACAACACACTTATACATAGAATATGTCACAACACCACACACGCTCTCACTCCAGTCACAATTTGATTGTAATTGTGACTTGTTTGTGTAATTGTACATCAGTGTACTGGACAGTGTGATCTCGTCTGGCTCTCTACTCTAATTGTCTTGGGCTAATTTAACAAGTGACAGATGTGAGAACAGCCTCTAAACTACTACACCCTCCCACACACACACACAATCCCCGGAACCAACCCTCTCACAACCATTACTTTAATAATTAGTGCCTCTGAGGCTTTGAATAGAGCGCAGCGGGCCCAGAGTGGGTGTGTGTGGGTGTGTGGGTGTGTGTGTGTGTGTCTACCTCGCTATATGCCATTCTGTGTTTGAGCATGTGCATGTGTGTTCCATTCTCTGTGCACACGTCTGTAAATGTGAGTGGACATACAGTAAGTGTTTGTTGAGCTACATTAAAAAAAATTGTACGTCTGTAATTACATATGTATGCGTGCGAGAATGAGTGTGTGTATGCCTGTGTGTACATAAGAGTGTGTGCATGTGTGTGTGCGCACTATGGGGGCTTTATCAGGTGTCTTGAGACCCTGGGTGGAAACAGGAGGGGCAGTGTTAGGAACAAATAATTGATACAGAAAGAAAGAAATAATTAGCAGATTTGGGCTGGTGTCCACGGCCCCTTATTCTCTCCTGCCAGGTCTGCAGAGTGAGAGAGTGCAATACGAGGGGGGCGGTACTCCCTGGAGGAACGTGCGATGGCGGAAAAACACTGATGGATGCTCTTAAGGGAAGGCCCCTGGACACACACAGCACAAAAGGATTTGCCCGCAATTAGCTAGCAGAGTCGCCTCGCTCACCTGTGGCACCTGTTATGTGTGTGAGTCAGTGCGTGTGAGACTGTTTGTGTGACAAAGTGCTGAGGAGAGTGTGTGTGTGGCAGATGTCATGTTGCATGTGTAAGTGTGTGGTAGATGGCTTTGTGGTTTTATAACAGTGAACATTTGAATCCAAATGTTTGTGTGCGTGCGTGGCTACGAGCAGGGGTAGATGGCGGAAACCATGATGCTCATGTTCTTGAACCTGTGGAATATTTAAGTCACACATAAACCATCATTTTAATCAGAAATCACACCAATACAGGACCAAAGCTTCCTTTGCTTTAATAACAGGCATGCTGGTTATGCAAGAGCGCTAATTAGCATCACCAGCACCAAAGTCACCAAAATCACAGTCAAAAATGTTTTAAAAGTTTTAATCCACTGGACTTAAATACTGGATTAAAATTAAAAATACACACACACAGTGTATATTGTAGAGCAAACTCCCATCAAAAAAAAAAAGCTCACAACTGCCCTGAAGTTTAATGATAAATAAACACAAAGGGTTGACAGATCTTCAACCAGCCAGGGCGATTTAAAGGGGAACTTGGTGACTGTTATTTAGAATGTGTGTGTGTGTGTCTGTAACTAACCATCAGTCACAGTACTGGCTGGTAGCTGGCCCACTAATGTGCGATCAACACACACTTGCTCAAGCTGAGGTCCACTTAGGCTCAGCGTTACCAGTACTCCACTGCTTAGCATCACCTGCAGAAACCCAACATGATTACAGTTGACAGAGATTCAGCAGTAAAAGTAGTTAAACTGAGACTACGTAAGTTAGCTGAGCAGCTGGAGAAGCAGTCTGTGTGACCACAAGCGGTAATTAAATGACACTGGCAAATTAAATTCTGTTAGGATTCAGGTCATAATGGTGAAGTACTGGAACAGTGAGGAAATACATAAAAAGACTTTTACATGCTTATAAAAAATGCATCTGAAATGTAGCCTGGCAGAAGAGTTAATACAGAATGATCTCAAAGTCAGGCAACTTCCTTATTCAGGGCAGCCAGTTGCACAGCAATATGTAACATTAGCTTACGTTACATAAAAGTGCATAGTGCTAACATCCCATCGCCCTCTTATCACAAGAGTACCTGACAGCAATGCTTGTTCCTCCATCTGGTGTGAATGCAGGTGTTGGTCTGCAACAGTTCCTGAATGAGCATGATGGGTAAAGCAAAGAGGAAGACAGAAAGACTGTGAGGCAAATGGAACAAACAGAGGTAAACCCACAAACACAACTGATGACACAGAACTGACACAGCTGTGGTGCTACAAGAAACATAGAATTGGGTTTAAACTGGTTGATTAAACCTCACTGTGAACACAAATCTAGAATATGTATACTGTATTTGATGATTGTCTAATTATGAACATTCATGTAAAAATTCAGCAGATTTCCATTTCATTACAATGCCAGTGTCATTTATATTTGCATTAATTACCTCAATAGCATATACAGTTCCTGCTCATAGAGGGGTGGGAGAAAGTTGAAAGAGGACACAGGTAAGGGCTGCTAGTGTACGTGTGTGTGTGTGTGTGTGTGTGTGTGTGTGTAAGGTCAGTCATTCCTGGCACATTCCAAAACCAGCTGGGGTGATTGAATGGGAGGAGAGAAGGATGAAGGAGGAGGAGGGTGGGGTGTGGTGGTGAGCTGGGGTGTTTCTAGTTTCAGACAATGGTTACGGGTGAGAGAAAGGAGGTGGATGGGTGGAGAGAGAGAGAGAGAGAGAGAGTGTGTGTGTGTGTGTGTGTGTGTGCGTGCGCGTGAATGTGTATGTATGTATAACAGCCACAGTCAGGTTCCAGCAAACAAAGCTAGGTCTGTACTGCCACAAGTACAGAGGGGAAGAGAAGGGAGAGGAAAGGGTCGAGGAAGAGGTGGATGAATGAAAGGAAAGGATGAGAAAGAGGGAGGGAAACAGGGAGGAAAAGAAGGAATGAGGGGCAGCCTGCAGTCCCTTGATCCCCTCAAATATCCCCCTCGATGACAGAGCTCAGCCCGAAAGAGAGGTGATGAGAGAGGAGAGGGAGAGAGCAGAACAAATGGAACAACAAGGAGAGTGAAGGGAGAGGGAGAGAATGCCCCTATTTGTTAATCAATCAGCCGTTTCGGAAAGGGAAAACTCTGAAAATCCCCAGAGGGAGGTGGAAGAGGTCAGGAAGGATGGTGGTGGTGGGGGATGAACAGAGGGGGCGGGTACCTCCAACTCCTTCAACGAATCGCGTAGCTTCTCTGGCCGGTGGTTCCTGAGGGTCCATGTATATCCCCGAGCTACAGAAGAAAAACACAAGAAGAACCATGAGATCATGTGACCAACATTTAAACACAGACATAGGGGAAATCATTATTTTAAGAAAGGTACTCATGGGAATTTAGAAGCCCGGAAAGGATAACAGGGTTGAATTTCATATCTGGTTTGAGATCCAAGTATGAAAAGGTGAGACATGTGGAATAAAGGGTGGTGACAAGACAGTCAGGTAGAAAAAAAAGAGATGAAGGTATATCTAGCTTGTGCTCCAAGATACACTTTAGCTCCTAGCTCCAGGAAGAAATGATATTAATGCTAGAAACCTTAGACTAACTGATTAATCAATTAGTCAAAATAATTTGGCAGTTATTTTGACAATCAAATAATTGAAGTTATTTATCAAGCAAACATCCATGCACTGGATCCTGCTTCTCAAAAGTGGGAGAATCCGTTGCCTTCTCCATCTTTGATTGTGGTAAATGGATTACTTCTGGGTTTTGAAGTGTTGATTAGAAAAAAACAAGCGCCTTAAAAATAATTGTCAATTTTTTTTTACATTTTCGGCCAATTCATAAACTAAGAAATGAATAAATGACTATGGAAAAGTAATCAATTGTTATATTGTTGTATTTGCAACACTAGCATCAATTGTATACCATGTATTCAGATTCCACTGTAAGAAAGCAGAGAAGCTACTGTACTTGGGAGTAACTTTCTCAAATTCTCAATCAAATGTAGAAATTCAGGATTCATATCTCACCGTCTGGCACAGGTAGTTTGTACCCTTAGCAGCAATATCTATGCCACTCATTTACTTTTATACTTAAAACCCAGTGTAAAGCTATTGCTGCTATAAGGAAACTCCATCAACAGAAAATGAGCGCTAGTGAGTTCTGACCACAACAAAAGTCTGCAACCGGCTGCTTACAGACTGATGTACAGGAGCTGCACATAAAGAGTAAGAATATTCTACTGAAAACAAAACGTCCCTTCAAAACACACAAACTACATAGTCTTCGAGGAGAAGCAAATATTTAATTGTGAAGACTTCTGGCACTTGGAGTTATCTTCCAAAAGCAACCCTCACAACAGGCATCTCAACACGTACCACACCATCCCTTCATTTTAATTTCCCAGCGTTACCTCTTCCCCTCCATCTCTAGTGGTTAAACAGAGGATGTGGAGGAAAAAAATAGCAAATTGAATTTGTGCATCTGCTTCTGCCTATGCATACACATGAAGTTCAGTGGGAGGGAAACAAAAGTAGGACTGCTGTTTTCAATATGGTGCAGTCACCCCCTTATCTGTTTATTTTACTGAAACAAACCATTAAGGAGTGGGTTCTTTATTAGGGAGAAGGGAGAAGGGAGTAAACAGATGCATGCAAATGAGGGCGGGGAGGGTGGAGCGGGATCAGGGAAGAGGGGATGTAGGGGAGGAAGATGAGTTTTCATCTCCTGATAAGGGTGTTTCTATCTTACCACTGGGTGAGAAGCAGAGAGAGTGAGGGCAAGAGAGGAAGTAGGACAGTGGCCTGAGGACAGGGATTTCTGGAAAATGGTGATCCACTAATGAGATGATTAGGACCAATTGTGCAGCAAACACGCTGGTGTCTATGAGGAACTGTCTCTTAAGTTTCTCTGTTGGACACTCACCTTCACAGAACTTGAGTTTCTCATTGTAGTAGTGATGTTCTGAGGAAACGGCTGGGAAATATAAAGAGGAGAAATGAAGGGTCTGATTTGGAATATACACATAAGATTAAAAATAACATGAGGTATACGACAAATGACTCGAGTCTCTCTCTGTGATGTAGATACAGAGGTACAGAAAATTAGGCTGGAACTCAAACATCCCCTTAGCTCCAAAAGGCCAAGTTGGCAAAGTACAACACATAACCATGCTTCATGGCCAGGTCACTGTGAGTGAGAAGTGGCCAGTGTGGTGGTCGGCTTCTCTGGCAGGCAGGAACATCTCCAGGATTAGTAGTATTAATCAGATAAGAGGGTGAGGGGCCAGACAGGCCCAGACATGGGCACCTGCTCTGGGGCTGAGTGGGGAGGGCTGGGGGGTTTCTGGCTGCAGGGGTACCCCCAGAGCCACTCCACTGAGCCTGGGCCTCCCTCTAGTGGCAAGATGTGGAACTAACATTTAACCTCACAGAAAAGCAAACACTTCACTTCATGGTCATTCCCTTTTAAACCGGACTTACTTATTTAGTTGTGAATATAGAGTTCTCAAGATTTGAAGCCAAGCTTTCAGGGGCTTTTTAAAGGGGCCTTTTGCATAAAGAAGTAAAATAAAATATTGAGGCAGAATACTGTGCTGAAATGTCCATTTTTCACAAACTAGCTGAGCACATATGCGCCACAGTTCATTTGTTCAAGCTAAAAACCACAGTGCCCATACAAAATATCACCTGAACAAACTTTAATCTAATGTAACCTACTGTATATCGAATCGAATCGTGGCCTGAGCTATTATTACAACACTATAGTGTGGCACGTCTGGATGGTGATTCTGTTCCCCTGCTCTGTTTCACCCATCCTCCCCTCTGATATCAAGCCACACTTTAGTAATCCTCCAAATGAAAGGATTTGGAGCGAGAGCATCGTCTCTCCACTGAAGATTGCAATGAAAGAAAAGGCAGCTTCTCAGATTAGAGAGAGAGAGAGAGAGAGACAGAGTACACAAAATGAGAAAGAACAAAATATACATGGTGAGAGTAAAATACTGAGACAAAGAGGAGTAAATCAGTCAGAGCCATGAAAGGCACAGTAACGAAAAGGAAAACATGCTGATGTGAGAAAGAAATATATTACAAAAATGATAAAGCAGGCAAATCGAAAAAAAAGAAGAGAGAACAGAGGGTTTACGCACTACAGCAAATAAATTATGCTACAAACTGAACTCTCACAGGAATTAATTCATTAAGCTACAAGTGCTCTAAACAATATTTTATATTAACAGTGGATCAAACGACTATGAAAAAGATCTTCATCTTTGATTTCATAGTTTTGGTTTTATGGCTTGCACCTTTACTGTTTTGATCCAAATTTGTAAAATTACTTTAAATTTAAATATAAAGTAAATGTCTATTTTTAAAGTAAAAAAAGCGAGGAACCAAATTTCTTCCTTTGTTATTGTAAAAGGTTAGTTCTCCTTGTATGTGAAAGCCTGTGGATTTCACTCTACATAACGAACAGGACTCACTAGTTGTACAATATTTCTGACATACTTTTTGTAATTGTAAAATGGACAATAATGTTGGCCAAAGCAGAAGTCATCTTATTTTGAGCTTTAACTGTGGAGCGCTCCCTTTAGGGAAGTTGGTGCCCATTTGAAAACTGCTGTGTAGAATTTCACTGAAACCTCAGCAGAGTTTAAGATCTGGCACATAGCAGGAGGACAAACTATACAGCAACCCTCTTCAGGCCACTTGGTGTACATTTTAAAATGCTTGCAAGATATATAATTTTCATAAAAATTAACACACACAGATCATCCCTATTGCCTGGACCATGGGGGAGCAATACCCAATGGTAAGGGAAGCCTCTTGGCCTGAGGCAATGTGGGGCTGGACTGCATGGGGCTATGTGCTATGTGATCTAGGAAAAAGTCAACAGTTTAGTTTTCCTATCGCTGTGCAGCAGGACCCCGAGTCAACAGGAACACAGGGAATGTAAGAGATAGAACCACAGAGGCCTAATAACCTATGTGTGTATATGGTATGTACGTGTGTATATAAGGCTTTAGGGTGTAAATCCTACATGCTAATAGCCTCTGTGTGGACAAGGGTATGTGTGGTTAACGGGTGTAGGACACTAAAATATGCAGGACTAGTAATCTCTGTGTCCATGTGTGTGTTTACAGCTATATACATATATACATATACACACACACACACATGGAAATACATTCCAAAGACAAGACAAATGCAACTTATCTTAAACACAAACAGACATCCAATATAAACACTATTTACCTGGCTTTCCTTTATCATAGTACTGATAGGTGCCAATATCTGTATCTGTGAGGTGAGAGAGAGAAAGAGAGAGAGATGAGCATCGGGCTGTCAGGGAAAAGCAGAAGACACATCAGCAATTTCGCACCGTGGGATAAACAATCGCTATCAGCCAGTGGCCTGTCCCGTCTGCCAGCACCACAGTTTAGATAAGACCCTGTGAGGGAGGAGGAGGTGGAAGGATGGGCTGGGGGGTCCGAGCCAAAACAGAGGGGGTAGTGGGGTATTAATAAAGACAGGAGTGTGCTTTAACCCGCCCCAGCCGAGGGACAGACTCTGATTTACACACATGAACAATATACATTTAAAAGTTGACACAGACTCAGTGGACAGCTACGAAGAAAATACCAATGTCAGACACACCCACAAATGCAACACACAAAACACAAATGCACATATTGATAGACAGAGAGAGACAGACACACACACACACACACACAGACACACACGCACATGCACACAAACTGCTGAGCTGAGCCTTTTTTTGTCAGTGTTATTCCTGCAGGCCCAAAACCATAAGCAGCCAGACTCGGATTCGCACAACACATCGTTTCTTTATCGCTCCACTACTGTTGCTGCCACTGCTGCTGCTCCTGAGGCCAGGTCACACTAATACAACAGGAGAGCTGATGGCGCACACACACACACACACACACATCAAATGTACCGTACCTGCATAGAGATACACTCACAGCACTGTCAGTTATTAGTGTTTGCTAATGGGGACTATCAAGAACCAGTAACAAATAAAGATGCAGATTGACAGATTCTGTATTTGCACCAAAATAACACACACACACACACACACACACACACACACACACACACACACACACAGCACTGATAGGGCTCAATGTCACTTTTTACATTTCTGACACAGGACTACTACAGCTCATAATACCAACCAAATGGGAGGAGCAAAGAGCAGTTAGCAGCATTTTAGTCCATTTGTTTTGATTTTCACTAGACCCTCTAGTGGCTGAAAGGAAATCAGTTAGAGCACCGTTAACATCTGGTTCAGTAAAATCAGTGACGAGCTTGTTACCCTCCTGCAGTGATTTCTGTTGAGACCTCCTTGTGCAAAGCAATAAACTCACAAACCGCATCTGTGGAGCTGCTCAGTGGGCACAGGCAGAAAGCTGTGGGAACTGTGTGCTGTGATGAGCAACTCTACAAATGTGATGAACACATGTACAACATAAACACAAACCAAACCACAGAAAAAACTTGTTTTATAGCATTAGAGGTACTGCTTTTATAAGTCTATATTTCTGTTTTTGAAGCAGATATATATGATGTGAGGAAGGACATGATAGTGAACGTTACACCTCAGCGACCAGGCCTCTTTCCTCATATGTATCCACATTTTTCCAAGACACATACAACAGGAAAAACAAACAAATAAGGATATGTCACCATCACATAGGATATACACCCTGTCGTACCTTGTGTATACACGTTAACACACATGCCACAGTCAGCCTCTGAGAGACACTATCTTCCTCTAAAGCTCAGTAGACTGTGAAAGACAAGACAGAATGGAAGGGATGAGAAAACAAGAAAATGGAGAAACTGAGCATTTCTGTCTGACAGAAGAGATGGACTGATAGGTGGCAGGCAGGAAAGAGCGCAAAGACTGAGAAAAGTCTAACTTAGACCAAACCTACTAGGGCTGACGAGGAACAACTGACCAGCAGTTAACTACGATCAGTGCATACATGACGGCCATGTGCAGCACTGTGCAAATGTTTCAGGCACTTCATATTCTTATGCATCATGCAGAACCATCAGGGATGTGTCTGTTCAGTCCTAAATTCATTTGGCAGCATGACAGCAACCCCAAACAAACAAACAGCCACAGTCCTAAAGAAAGTATATTCAGCTACATGAAAAACAAGGAGTCCTACACAAGATGGCGTGGTCTTGAGCTACTTGTGGTCATATTACTCTATTAGACTACGAACAACAAACACAGTTGTAAAAACATAATGAATGTCACGTATAATGCAATAAACAACATGGACAGCATGAGAATTTGAAGTGAGCAAACAAAGTGAAAACAGTCAAGGTGAGAACTGGTGTTGACTAGAGTCAGATTGCTAGCGTAGATATGGGTAAGCTGGGGAGAAGGTGTGAAAACAAAGTGAGCGATGACAGAGAGAGCCAGAGCAAGCAAGAGTGACAGCAAGGAAAGAGAAAGGTGGGAGAATAATTGAGAGACCCGGAGAGGTGGAGATTGAACATGGCGATAAGTGCTACCTTTGACTTGGAGTGAGCTCTTGGTGGACCACAAGTGCAACTCAGCCAGGCAGAACGCCATCTGACCAAGGAGTGAAACCCGAGTCTGCAGAGGGGGACACAGGAGAGAAAGAACAAATGAAAGACGGAGAAAGAGAACGGGCAGGCGAAATACAAGCACAGATGCATATCATGGCAAGATGACATAACAGATCGACATAAACGGGTGTAAGGGTCAAACAAAGCATGCATGTAGCCTCACACGCTCACTAAGGTGTAGGAGTGACTGCCAGGTACGTCCTGACCATATACATAGATCAGCAAAACATTTTTAATTTTCCACATTCAGTAGTAGCAGTAGACTAGCATTAGTAATGGGGTTTGTGACGATACTTGAGGATGCACTTAAAAAAACTAAACAACTAGCATTAGTAATGGGGTTTGTGACGGTACTTGAGGGTGCACTTAAAAAAACAAAACAAAAAACAATCGTGCTGAAACACAACACTCTTGTAGCACCACTGACTGTACCTGTTATACCTGTACTACTAGAACACAAATGTAATAATATTTGTGGGAACTCTACAGCTACGAATGCACAATTTGACCAATTAACTTTAAAAACGCTGACAGAAAGACAGACGTGCACGTGAACTCAGAGTGACACTCGGAGAAAGTCCCGGTTCATTCACACATCACAGACGAGCCATGATGGACACACACTTTGCAGCTGACAGCTCAGACAAAGCAGACAACATTCCACCCGTCCACAAACAAACACAGAACAGGTCTATGAGACGCACCGACTATTCCTTGTTCTCTCTTAATTCCCTGAGCAGTTAAACTGTTGCCTTGTACGAGTCGTCTCTGTGGGGTTTCCTCCGTTGTATTCATGGTTTACTGTTGTACGATTCTAGTATATTTTGTTCCATCTGTGTGAGCAGGGCCCCCGACTGTGCTTTGTCAAACTGTGTATTGAACAGCTTATGAGGTTTTTGTGATAAAGGAATTTCCTACTGTGGGATCAATAAAATACTACAACTGCCTGTACTACTTTCTAGTTTTACTACCACTGCCCTTAGTGTTGTGAGTGCAGCAACTCGCAAGTAAGTAAGTAAGTAAGGTTTATTTATATAGCACCTTTCACAGATAAAATCACAAAGTGCTTCACAAAGTCAGCAATGCAGAACACAAAACAAACAAAACAACAATATGCCAACAACACCAACAGATAATAGATAAAACTATATTAAAAATAAAATAAAACCTAACTATCAAATCAGCTAAAAGCCTGACTAAACAAATGTGTCTTCAGCTGCTTCTTAAACCCACCAACAGATTCGGCCATACGCAGTGACAGGGCAACGCATTCCACAGTCTAGGAGCCACAGCCTGGAAAGACAGGTCCCCCCTAGTCTTCAAACGGGTTTTGGGGACCACCAAAATGGCTTCGGGAAATATGGGGTCAATAGGTCAGCTAGTGGTACAGCTCGACACTACCTTTTGAGACACTACTACTGTTGAACTACTATTACTACTAATAATGATGTTACTAATATTTAGGGTACTAGCACCAAAAAACGGCTAGTCTATGTATTTTAGTGGCTTGGGGGGCAGTGTGTTCTGTGTTATCACTGGTATTTGACTAGGACCACTGTTTTAATATTCCTTCATGCTTTGTGTGTGTGTGTGTGTGTGTGTGTGTGTGTGTGTGTGTAGCGCTGTGTTGGCCATTCATTTCTCTATCTGTGCAGCTAATGCTCTCGGTCTGTCCATCCTCTCACTCTCTTATTTTCTCTCGTTAACGCCAAGAAGGTTCTCTCTTATCTTTCCCTTCTTGCTCCTCCTGGTGTGGGGGGGGGGGCAGCAAAAATCTCATTTTGCCACTCAACCCCCCCAAAACTACAAGTCCCAACAAAAATACATACAGATAACACTGGGTGTCATGGAAACGCAGCGGCTAGCATGGCAGCGTAACGAGTTTACTGACATAAGAGGATTCTTTCATCCTCTCCTAAACAGCTTTTTTAAAGGAAGTCAGCCCTTTTGGAGGGGAAACCTCATTTCAGGCAGCTTTCATTTAGTTATTGCCAGTCTGGCTGGCCTAAAGTTCTTGAGACCTTGTTCTGTGGAGCCGTCATGTCTCAGGAAATATATGGCCAAAGTGAAGAAACAAAAGGGCAGAGATACAGAAAACTGGTGAGTGTGTGTTGTGCGAGTGTGACACATGTAGCCACAAACGTACCTGAGTGACAGAGATAGACGGCATCATCCTGCTCGTCTAACAGCTTCCCACTCCTGTCACTTTACACATGCTGTCCATGCAACGCCAAATGCATTACTTCTCTGATGCAGTACAGAAATAATGTCAAAGCTCATATATTTGGCTTTCCTGTACATTTCTGACCTGCTCACCAGCTACAATCCTCACAGGCCTCTCAGATCATCATCACAGTCCAGACCTGGAGAGGCTGCTTTTTGTTCTGTGGCACAAACAGCCTGATAACCTGTGTCGCAACTTTGTCCACGTTTAAAAGGAAACAGGAAAACTTCATGCATGTGTTTGTTGAGTGAGTGCACGGAGTGGATCTAGGCTTGTCACTGGTTTTTAGTGGGTGGGCGTTTTGCATTTTTTGTATTTAAATTCCTCTATTCGTGCTGCTTTGCTGTACATGTTGAAAATAAGACAGTTAACTTGCAACAGAATGTGCTTTATTAATAAAATGGCCTTTACACACAAAGTCCTCAGTCACATCCTTCATCAAACACACACACACACACACAGACTGTACAGGTCCTGGGCAGCTGCCACACACTGATCTGTGCCTGGAGTTGCTGTGGGTTACCCGCCTCCCTGCAGAGCTTTGTGGGGGTGCACAGCCAGTGTACACAGGGCCTGTGTGAGGGGTCTAGGTTATTGTATCCTCTCTTTACATTAGTAAAGAGGTTGCTTTAACATCAAAGGGAGGTGGAGGGAAAACATATGACTCCTCTTTCAAAGACGATCCACAGGATCTATGACCTTGTCTGCTCTCTGCATCTCTTGTCTGCTCTTCTGTCACTGTCCCCTCTGGGTGGCTGCTGAGTAGGAGCGCATGTGCGTGTACTGTATGTGTGCACAAAGAGGAACGCAACATAAAGTGTCTTTTTATCAATAGGCTCGGACGCTTATGTGTATGTTACAGAAAGAAACAGAACTTTAAGTAATTTTCTCTCCAAGTGGAAAAGAAACAGCAGCAGCCTTGCTAAGATATATGGATTGCAATCCTGTCACGTCTCTGTTTCTCGCTCTCAAAAGCCACAACTCAGACACTGATTAAGCTAACAATCTAACACTGAACTACGGTTTAATCCAGGTATACATAGTCAGAACATCAAGTGTAGTATAATAACACTAGAAAGCTCTCAGCAGGCGAGTCCCTCTGCAAAGGCTGCATATTTCACTGAATTTGTACTTGCATCTTTGTGAGGACACTCAATGACTTACCCTGTTCTGAATCATCACAACTAAATGCCTACCCCAACGCAAACCCGATTCTAACTGTAGCCCTAAAACCAAGTCCTAACCCTCAAACAGCCCCTCGAAGGTGTGCAGAAAGTCAACACTGGTCAAAATGTCCTCACTTTCCAAACATACCCTCACTCCCAAGGTATAAAATTCAAAGTGCACACAGAGAACTCACATGCCAGAGGCAGTGGCTCCATCACTGCAAGAAGAGTGATGTGGTAAATTATAGGGTTAAAGAGCTGCCATGGCATGACTGACACAAGGCCATCACAGCCTTGCCTCATTCCCCCGCCCCAATACACACACAAACCTTTGTTACACATCTCTCTCTCTCTCTCACACACACACACACACACACACACCCTGTCATTCCCCTCTCACCGACCTGGCTCTGCATAACTTCCCTTTACCTTTTTCTCCTCTTTCCCCGTTATGTACCTTCACTTATCCCTCTGCCTACATGTCTCTCGCCTTATATCTTTTTTTATTTCTTCCTTGTCTGCTGTGTTTTTCTGAGGCACCTCCTTCTATTAGAAGAGCAATAATCTTTCTGACCCAGTCTGCTAGTATTCCCTGTCTTTCTGGCAGTTTTTACTCTCCCCATTCTATCACATCTCTCTCAAAGAACAGTATTTCAGTGTCTGATTTTCTCTTTACTGTCTCATCTCTCTCAAAAGGACAGGGATTCAAATTTTCTGACATTTTTCCACAACCTTTATCTTTCACAGACACTCTCTGAGCTACTGCCTGGTCTTGTTTTGGCTCTTGGAGAGAAACTTGGCAAACATAGAAAACATACAAAGGGGGACCACAAAGTGCATCCACAGGCAGAGATAGCTAGAGTAACAGGGTGTAATTGTGAGTGTATGAGCAAATATTTTCAATCTGAGGTGCCTCGGAATTCCTGCCAAGTCTCGATCACAGACTTTGTGAACACGCACATTAATGTATTCAGTAAACACACTCAGGCACTCGTGTCAGTCCTACACCACATTCCCTCAAATCGCTCAAACATCTGATATGTGAACTCATACGGGACACAAGCACATACGTATGCATGGAAAGGCACATACAGGTCGATGCATACTCTCCTATCTTTTAACTTTGTGGTACCTGAGGAAATGTACACATGCTCGCATTTACATACATATGAAATCATGCACACAGACTCACACGAGCTCTTATCGACAATACATCCTTGAGGGAGAAGTCCTTCAGCTTCCAGGGTCATATCAGAGCCAAAAAAATAAAAAAAGTGGACAAAATCTGACAACACAAGCTGTGGCTCTGAAGAAAGGGTGAGATAATGAGAAATGGCTAAAACAATGGAGGAGTCTACAGGAGTCAAAACCATCCATCCAATTAAAAGTCCCATAAAATGCAGTTAATCAGTGAATAGCTTTGTGATTTCTAACACTGTCCTGTTCCTTTTCTTTGCATTTCAGGGGGGTCCAGTGGTCTAATTGTTATGGCACAAACCACAAGGTCTGAGCCACAGCCCCTTTACTGCATGTCGTAATGACCAAAGGAACATGAAGGTTTCAGAACTGTTTCTGTACTTAGAGTTACAACAACTCAAACAGCTGGTAGCAGTGCGT